CGAGGCAATCGTCTTGCAAGGCACCACTGTAGATGGAGCCAGTGCATGTTTCTTGCAACTTCACTGGTTCGTCAAACACGACTTCCATCAATGTACACCTTCATTTTGGGAAAGCCACAAGAAAGAAACAGGGAGAAGACCAAAAGACATAGGAGAGGAAAGGACAGGGAAAGAGAAAATAGCCACTTTCTGAAGGACCTGAAGAAAGGCAAAAGCACACTTTATTCTAGTATGCTACAAAAAATCATGATTGACCTTTATTAGGTACTTTAGTAACAAGCATACTTTAAAGTAACAAAAATTATTGTTCTTTGTTTCCTCAGAAAGTCAGGTATTCCCAGTATTTCTTTACAAGTTGTTGACCTTTTTCTTAAAAAACAAACAAACAAAACAACATATTTTGACACATTAAAATGGGATGGTATCAGGGGAAGCATTCACATTTTAAAAGGTTAAAAACATAATTCTACTCACTTCGAATGGTGTATATTCTTAAAATGCTTTGCTTCCTTCATATATATTTATATATATGTCTAAACATATATATAAACACACGTATATCTACACACAAATGGTAATGGAAACATCCACATCACTTTGCAAGGTTTTTGCATTAACACGGCTGGGCCACAGTGAGAAATAAAGATACCAAGACTGAATAAGCTTTGCTTTTATGACCTCTGCCTAAGAAGCAGAGAACTATTTTGGTGTCAATAAACGGATTTAGGGACGGTTTCATAAGGACCAGGTAATGAAGCATGGTGCGTCCTGACTGGTATAGGGACACAGGAGTTCATTTTGGGAACATTAAGTGTTGTTGATGGAGCCATGAGAAAAACAATGGGAAGGGAAAGGGCAAGGATCACTGTGGAAGAATGCCCCTACAGAAGGCTACAATGGAAGTGCAATAGGAAGGTGAGGTTGAGGAGGCAGCATATGAGGCAAAAAGGGATATTTTGAAGGTTTAGGGCAGGTAGGAAGGCAAGATTGCTCATCAGGTAAGGGCCAGAGGCTGATCTGAAAGGTCTCATACTTGGCCAGAGTCACTGGGGCTAATGGGAAGCAAGGGAAGTAGCCAAACTGAAGCTCTGTGCAGGTAATTGTTTTCTGTGTAGCTTAAAAGGGAGAGGTCCCTTGGTTCCACAATATCCTTCCATATCCCTATGACTCTCTTCATGTGGATGACAACTTTATGAAGCGGACAGTTTCCTTTATCCACAGAATGTTTGCATATGAGTTTTGGATCATGTGGAGTGTACAGGGAGAGAGGCAGCTGTCTTCGTCATTGAGTCACTTTTCTTCGTGAGAACAATAATGGGTGTTATGTGTGGGGTGTTCCCCTCTTTGCATGTTTAGTCTACAAACAAAATGAATGACTGAAGGGGGGGGTACAATGTTAAGCATCCCCCAAGCAAGTATGGCCACTGTTGTCTGAAAAAGTAATGTGTGATCCAAAAAGCAACTTTTTCAAGCTCTGTGTAGAGCTAGTTGATTTTTTTAAAAAAAGAGAGTAGGGCCTATTCTCACTTCCCTCTCAACAAATTAAAGAACAGCAACCGTTCACGACACAAAGGGGGCTTGCAAGTTTTTACAGGTCACGATGTAATCAAGCCAATTACGTTATTGGTGTATCGTTTGCCCTTATGGGTGGTCACCTTTGTCACTGAAATGCTGAGGATATTCTGGGAGATGGCAAACCCAGAGGCATCAAAATTTGCTCACAGGAATGTTACCCACCCCCTACTGCATTGGAGCAGTCGTGTGACTGGGATCCAGCTGATCATATTCCAGACTGATTTTCTTATCCACTTTTCCATAGGGTGTCACATGAGCACTGGAGAAAACATCTAAGGTGGTTTTCTTGCCTTCTAAACATCTCTGGAAAGCATCTCCCTCCTTTCTTCTTGTAACAGAACTTGAGTCTTGGATGTGAAAGATACTCTCACAGTGTAAGAAGTTAGATTAGATAAGGGGTAGGCAATCTGGTGCTTCCAGATGTGCAACTTTCATAAAAAGTTATCAGCCCGGCCAATGTTCAGAATGATGGGGGCTATAATCTTAAGTATCTGGAATGTACTAGGTTAGCTACCTTTGGATTATTAGATTAACATCTGGTCCATCCCAGCCCAAAGCATTCTATTGTAGCATAGATCAAGCACTGCTTAATAAAGAACTTCCATAGCTCATTAAGGTGGCAACCTTATGTATTCACTCACTTGGGGAAAAAGCCCCACTGAACTCATTTCTAAATATGCTGGTTTAGGATTGTGTTGTAAGATTGCAGCTCTATGCATGTTCACATGACAGTAAGTTCCACTGAATTATGTAGTATATCTTCCTAAAGAACATGTTTAGTAATATATCTTCCTAAAGAACATGTATAGGATGGCACTGGATTATGTAGAACTTTATTTGTGTTGCTTTTTGTATCATTTACAAGAAGTTGTAAAATAATGGCTGCCTGTTATGATCTTGAATCATGATGTAAACCCATGAAAGAAACAATCCTGGGAATAATAGAAAATATTTAGGTGTCAGCCCTGTTTAAAACACTTGTGACTAATGGAAAACAAGGTCAATCAAGTAAAATGTGAGTCTGTGCATGCCTGCAAAATTCACATTGCTCCATTAATTTGACGGTGGAACCACACAATGTAAGAAACGTGGGTTATCAATTAACGTTTTCCTCTTTGCCCCTGCAATGGCTTGGTTAACATCTTATGTTCTAAAATCATGGGAATGGATCCAGATTTAGTCATACTTGAGAGTAGAACAACTCTTAGCCATGGTTAACTTAAATCTTTTTTCTTTGAGTTGGCCTACTTGAAGGATGATTACATGCGTCCCACTGACCACTATATCAGCTGTGACAGACCACAGATTGAGACTAAAAAAGAGTCTTACAAAGTTTTATCATGCTTGGAGGTCATTGTTTGAGTGTCATATACTTGGCCTTGACATTTCTGACAACCATGGCAGGAAAATCAGATAATGACCAAATAAGAAAAACTCAAAGAGTTGTTGAGGTCTATAGTGTGCTTACAGAATATATTACGCACCAGGCTATCTGACCTGACACTCAAACCTGTATTGATGATGATTAAATCTCAATCTAACCCATAATGCAAACTGCTTACCTGCCTCCTGTTCTACATCACTGGTTGTTATTGGCAGACAAACACTGTAATTATAACAGGAGCTGGTTAGATTTTGCTAGTCTTGACAGAAAATTCAAAACAAAGGGTGTCTTGTTTGTTAGGAGTCTTGTGTTCTTCCTCAAATCTTTCTCATATTGATTATTTAGAAGCATCTAGTTACCCATATTCACTAGGTATCCTCATATAACACTTACAACTGCATATAAGCATACCATTCCTAGTTAACCAAGTATTAGGATTTTAGGATTCTTTTCCAGATTGTTCAGAAAGAGTAATGTCACTGTAGTTCCATTGACTTTGGTTCAAGTCATTGACAAGTCATTTTGTCCTTGGAAACTCAGAAAGGGATTGCATTATACAGCTCAACTGTGGAAAGATGCTATGAATATCTATTTGTGTTGTATAACAATGTTATCAGTAACCTTTTCTGGCAAGCAGGGAACAGCACTGGAATACTACAGTAATAAGGGCCCCACAAGCACCTAGAGAGAAGTAATTTGCTTAAGAAAGAAACCCTTATTTGTACATTGATAGCATGCCCACAGGCATTTTCGAGCGGAGAGATGAGGATTTTGAAACACAAATAGCTTTCTACAGATTTATTCAAAACTGTAAAAATGAAAAACCTAGTTGATCTGAAAAGCCTTTGCTATTACAGTGTAACTTCTCTTGTGCTGGATGCACAGATGGACAAGAGTCAGAAAGAATGAGGAGCCTTTTGTAGAATGCCATCTGTGGCTAACAGTTACCAGTGGCTGTTTGGCGTAAGTAATCGTAAGCCTTGTGCAGTATTAAGCAGCATGGACTATAGTGTTCATACAGATCTGAACTTCTAATCCATTATTGTTAAGACATATTTTCCTAATGGAGCAGAGGAGCAAAATGATGGAGCTTTAAAATCTGCTGAAGCTAATTCTACAGCAGTGAGCATACATTAAGAGCCACTCATGACAAAAATCACATCTTGTACCTCACATGTATTTTCAAATTGATTTTTGAATGAAATGGTCAGGTGTGCAGCCTTAAGAACAGTCAACGCATGTCTTGTCCCACATGGTGAAACAAAAATGTTGAGGCCCAGTTAGCCCTGTTTGGTTTCCCTATAAGTGCTAGTTGGAGTAATTACCCTAGATCTTTTGAGCTGAACACAGGATCTCTTTGTTGTTATTTGAAAAGAAGTTTCATTTACTAACCACAGGACAAGAAAACTGCAAATGTGATTATATGCTCATACAGCCTTACATTTCAGATGGCAAGAGAAACTCCAGGTTGCTTACAAACCTATCATGACATTTCCCAAAATGGTTTTGCCTACTGTTCTGGCTGTCAAATATTTCAGGTGGTGTCTACTTCAAAAAAACAAAAACAAAACAAAAAAACATTAAGTCAGAAACACACTCCTCCTACAAAAAGTTACTTTTTTGAACTACAATGCCCAAAAACCCTAAGTCAAAAAGGGGAATTCTTGGAGCTATAATCCAAAAATATAACTTTTCCAAGCTCATCCCTCACCAGTTTCATGTTTCTTGCCTCATTTCCAACTAGCGCTAGCTCAGTCATGAGGCAGAGTGAGGTAGGTGCTTTCCGGAGCAGAATGCCATTGATGGGTTGTCAATTGTCTATTGTTTAAACGTTTCCTTTCCTTTCCTTTCCCGTTTCCAGCCATGGGATAGATACATTCAGATTTCTGACCTGAGATACCAAATTTATGAGGCCTGACATACTTAGTAGAATCTGCCCAGCTTCATTTTATTCCAGGCCAAGAGTGGGCAACCCATAGGTAAAGGTTCCCCTTGACAATTTTTGTCCAGTCGTGTTCGACTCTAGGGGGCGGTGCTCATCCCCGTTTCCAAGCCATAGAGCCAGCGTTTTGTCTGAAGACAATCTTCCGTGGTCACATGGCCAGTGTGACTTAAGACATAGAACACTGTTACCCATAGGCTGAGGGTTATGCAACCCATAACCCTCAACCTAATTTCATGAGGCCCTCAGCTTAATTTCAAAAGCTCTTTGTACGCAATCAGTTGAGATCATCAGCTAGGGCACTTTCCTCTCTTTGCTGTCTGATGGGGAGAAAAGGGGTTGTCAGAATGAGATAAAAGGGAATGATCCCCCTTTTTTTTTTTTTTTTTTTGGCTCCGGCCTTGCCCACTACTGGTTTAGGTCTGAACTACTAGCTCCATGATCCCTGAATGGAATCTTTCTCCAAAATGTGGCTTGAGACAAAGATTCCCTCTACCACTTTCATAGTCTCTTAATTACTCCATTCCTACATATATTTTGGTTGAGTGGTTAAAAAGGGTAGAATGTTTGTTGCAGAACCATAGAACCTCATGCTACCCAGAACCTTCAGGCGGTTAGTTCCTCTCTGGGAATTGCCTGTGAAAATAATTGTGGAAAACCCATCATTCAATGGGCTACTCTAGGTATCTCTTCTCCCTCATTCCTTAATAAGATTTTGTGATTTTTGTATTCTAATACATCAGTTTGGGAATCAACGTCTTACAGAGCACACCTATCTTTGCAGAATGGGAAACAGGCACTGTTTTGTATGCTGGCTATTGAACACACAGAACATGTAGGCAAGAGAAATTGAGAGGTGCTGTGTTTCTAACTAACTGCAAACACAAAGGTCAAATGAAGTGTGCAGAAATGGTGGCTTAAAGCTGACACCATTTCCTCTGTAGCGCATGAGGCAAGAGAGTCTTGTCTGTAAAGATGCTCATTTCAATGTGACACTCTGTCTGCTTCCTGGCTACTGAAGCAGGATTCTTCCGAGTTAAACTGCCTCGGCCCTCTGAAAGGCTTTTATTTCAAAATATTCTGCTTTTCTTTTCTGTCAAATCATTTTTAAAAAGTGTGCAAACCTCCTTGATGCATGTATATTAATATGTTTACCCAATGACAACAACATCCCCTCTTAAAACATATTCCCCATGTGAATTTCATGTATGCCTTCCAAATGTTGCATTCAGTGACAGTTTCTAATGAGCTGGTGGGTAAATCCGTGATTGAATCTCTCTCCAGAGAACCAGTCTGGCTGATCTATGCTTAGAAGGCAGCTCGTGGCAATCAAGACATTTTTACACTTGTCAACATTCTTCATCATCCCAGGCTTCCATCTCAAGTTGCTTCTTGTTTAATGTTGATGTACAAAAGCTGTTACTCAGTTTTGTTTTGTGCTCATTCTAGTGAGGACTGGCTTAGCAGAACTGCAAAACACAAGAAAAAGAGAGAGTAGGAACAAGATTAGTGCTGAAAGATATATTTACAAAACATTTTCCAGGGTTTCCTTAAGTCAAGGATGGAGACCTCAAGCTGTTAAGCTAAACTCCAGCCTCCTGGGTCCCCAATCGCAACCTTTTGTTGATAGAATATTACCGTACAATATTCTATCAACATACATCTATACAGGGAGATATAAAGCCGATCACGAAAGTAAAATTGAGGGAAAGATGTATGTACACATTTAAACTAGCTCCAAATCTCCTAGGTCTTAGATAAAGAATCTGGGGAACTATATTACTAAAAATTCATTAAGCACCAGAGAAGACATGAGGCACTTTACAGAGATTACCGTATTTTTCGCACCATAAGACGCACTTTTTCCCCACAAAACAGGTGGGTGGAAAGTCTGTGCATCTTATGGAGCGAAGAAAACAGATTATATTTTCCTGTTTTCTTCTCCTAAAAAATTGGTGCGTCTTATGGAAAGGTGCGTCTTATGGAGCGAAAAATACGGTACTTACAATCTTACTGTCTCAGAAGAGACACAACATACAAAATATGAGATGGAAAAATAGAAGTATGGAGAAAGCAAATCATAAATCTTCCAGCAGAGCTCTAGTGCCCACCCTTCACCAGGAGCAGAGAACTAAGTAGCTCATCAAGGTATATATTCCAGAATTACACACAACAGAGCCATAGCAGTTAAAGTGATATCAAACAGTTATAACTGCATAGTGCAGAAACACTCTCAGTTCATGTCCTCATGTGAGCAAGCATGATGTTCACTGCGTGACCTTTGCCAAATCTCTTTCTATAAGCCTGGTCTACCTCACAGGGCTGACGAGCGAATGTGAGGGGGTGGGGTACACATAAGGTATGTCAGGCTCAGAGAGAGGTTCAGGGGAAAAAATCTTGTGAACAACTATGGAAAACAAACATGCGGCTATGCTGAAGGAAGAAGGAGAACACTAGACGGCTCAGCATGAACATTAGTGCCATGTTGATGTGGAGGTAAAGTTCCATGTTAGAGGTGGTTAAGAAAGGAAAATAAGACAGCTACCAATCTTGGTGCCTTTACATAACTCATTTCTAAATTAATGCACTGTCTACTTCTGTAGCCACCCACTCTCAAAAACGATACTGTAAATTTGGCCACGGTGCAAAAAAGGGCAATTGATTCAAACAGCTTCTCTGTTTTCCTGAGAGGAAGGCCAGATCAAGGAAGAAGGACTTGGTCAAGGTCATCCAGAATGCTCCTTGGGTCCATGCAGGCTCACACCTAGATCTCCTTAAACTTCAGTCTAACACACTTTCTTTGAATTCAGAGATCAACTTTACAGTGAAATTTGTTTTTTAGTCGTTAAGTCATGTCCAACTCTTCGTGACCCCATGGACCATAGCACGCCAGGCCCTCTGTCTTCCACTGCCTCCCGGAGTTGGGTCAAATTCATGTTGGTAGATTCGATGACACTGTCCAAACATCTCGTCCTTTGTCGTCCCCTTCTCCTCTTGCCTTCACACTTTCCTGACATCAGGGTCTTTTCCAGGGAGTCTTCTCTTCTCATGAGGTGGCCAAAGTATTAGAGCCTCAGCTTCAGGATCTGTCCTTCCAGTGAGCACTCAGGGTTGATTTCCTTCAAAATGGATAGGTTTGTTCTCTTTGCAGTCCAGGGGACTCTCAAGAGCCTCCTCCAGCACCACAATTCAAAAGCATCAATTCTTGGGCAATCAGCTTTCTTTATGGTCCAGCTCTCAATTCCATATATCGCTACAGGAAAAACCATAGCTTTGACTATATGGACTTTTGACGGCAAGGTGATGTCTCTGCTTTTTAAGATGCTGTCGAGGTTTGTCATCACTTTCCTCCCAAGAAGCAGCCGTCTTTTGATTTTGTGGCTGCTGTCCCCATCTGCAGTGACCATGGAGCCCAATAAAGTAAAATCTGTCACTGCCTCCATATCTTCCCTTTCTATTTGCCAGGTGGTGATGGGACCAGTGGCCATGATCTTAGCTTTTTTTAATGTTGAGCTTCACACCATTTTTTGCATTCTCCTCTTTCACCCTCATTA